CCCGTGGCAACCACGTTGCTGTGGGAACAGAGGGCGGAGGCTATCTTCACGGAGCTCGTGGGCATGCCGCAGCACCACAAACGGAGGAAGTCGCAGCTCATCGACGAGAACATCCCCCACCGTGGCATCTTCGGAACCCCATGGGCCTGGCATTTCGTGACCGAAACAAACGGCCGCAAGTCCTTCCACTTCCACGCCGGTGTCATCGCAGGGGCCTCTCCTACATTGTTGGCCGACGTGGCTGGGTACCCACGCTTGGAGGCCGCTGTGCACGCAGCCCTGGACTCGATGTATACGGCCCACGTGCCAGCCGACTTGCACGCCATCGACGTGGCCCGCCGGGCGTTGCGTATACCAGCGGAGCGTCAGACTTTCTTCCAGACCACCGACACGCCCACCCCAGAAGCCGTCCGAGAGTTTCACATAGATGCCGCCATCACAGCTCTTACCACTGGACTACATACACACGCGGCCACCTGCCACAAAGGCAAAAATGGCAAGCTCGGGTGCCGCATGGCGAAACCCTCTGGACACCCCGTCCCCCAGTCTCGCGTCCTCGCAATCCTGCCCGACGAACCCGCGCAGGGCACCGTGGACTGCTCTTGCAAGTACTGCACCCCAGGATACGACCCGAAACAACGACCAGCGACTGCACTTTGGGCTCGCAGGCCTCGCCCTGGTGATGGGGCTGCCAACGTCGTCCTCTCCTACGAGCACGCTCGCCCACACGTGGAACCCGATTCAGGCCGGTTGCGCGACATCATGAACATGCCCCGCGCCGATTTGGAGTCACTGGATCCCTCTGCAGCGCACGGGATGTTCCGAGACGTGTGCCGCGAACTCAGCAGCCTTTTGTCCAGACCTACTCAAGGCCGCAACCTGAACGACTGCCTCAATTCATGTAGTCAAGACAACGCTCGTGCCATCCTTCTCGCTTGGCACGGCATGCGACGCCGAAATGCGGCCCTCGTGGAGTTCAGCCCCACCCTCTCGGGACGCGTCCGGAGCAACACCGCACCTCTGCACCTCGGTGCCGGGGAGGCTGCGAAGGGAGCCGGCATGTACATGGTGAAATACCTCGTTAAAGAGGCTTACGATCTGGCAGCCTCGTTATCCGCATTGGCGGACGCTCGTCGTCACATTGACCTCTACCCGTCCTCGGCTGACGACGCAGGCACCGCAGCACGGTGCACTCGCCACTTCCTACAACGAGTTCTCAATTCCAGTGCCGCCGAGCTTGCCCCGACACAGGCGGCTGCGATCGCTCTCGGCGTCGCGTCAAGCGGACGTTCTCACACATACGTCAATGCCTACGTGTGGGACGCCGTCCACCTCAGACGTCTATTGCCCACCGGGGTCTCCCTGCTGTCATCTTCGTCCTCCGACAACCCTCCGCCCGCCCCCGATCCGCCCGACAGCGAGGATTCGCCCTTGGGCCAACGCGATGCCGACGCATGCGCTGGCGACCCTGACGACGTCGACGCGGCAGACGAATGCGACCATCCACGCCGAGGCACCTGCAGCATCTACACCACTTCAGACGGAACGCCGATTGCATTATCGCAGGCTGACCACTACGCGCACCGGTCCCAACAACTCGCCGACCTCACTTTCGACGAGTTCGTCATGGGGATGCGCATCCAGAAAGTCTCCGCGGAACAGAGGGCAAAGATAGCCGCCGAATCGGGCAAGAGGGGCCGCCCTACGAACCCGAGCTTCGAACTCGAACCGCCGCACCCTTTGGCGGGCCAGTACGTCATCAGGGAAAAATCCAAATTCGACGTGCCGGTGTTTGTCGGAGCTCCTCCGCCCCGTCTCCCCCCGATTCCGCTCCGCGCAACAAGGCGCGCCAGCGTATGGAGGTGGCCCACGCCGAGTACTTCGCCGCGCTCTTCGCACCTTGGTCCGCGGCCCAACTGGAGACCGCGACCCCGACCACTTGGAGCGCTTATCAGCGCCGCCTGGAGGACGCGGCTCACGGCTCCGCGCCTCCTGCATCCGACTCCGTGCGGCACGGGAAGAGTCAGAGAATCGCGGAGGGCCGCTTGTTCCGCATCCACCATGTGGCGACAGCCCTCACGTCGAATGCCCGGAAGACAGATATTATGAGCAAATGGCGCATGCGAGATCGCACTCTGTGGTCCGAAACGACCTCCTGTCCAGACGTAGCCCTTCCCCCTGGCCGCAGCAAGGATCAAGAGACCGACGCCGCCGCAGACATCCGCAACTTACGCGACGCTGCCAGCGCCGACGTCAACTCCAGAGCCATGAAACGAGCTGCTGCAATGGAATCCTGGGCGGACGACATTACCGACAGACTACCACCACTACCCGACGTACCATCCACGCCGGATCCTCGGTCACATTGGCCACGGGGGGCTCCGACCAAGGACGGTCATCCCGTCCACCATTTCCCAAGTGGCTCCACCGACATCGCCTCCTTCCTGGCAGACCTCGAGCAGCCTCGACGCAGGCCTTCCGACGACGCCAACACACCGAGCCACGTGGACCATCCCGTCGCAGACGCCTCCCCGGAGGACGGCGACCCACCAGAGTTCGACCCTATCGACGACGAGACCTTCATGCGTCTCGCACGCAACTGGGAATCAGACCTCCGTAACACGCCACCCGGAGGCTGTCCCCCCCGCCTCCTCTCAACCCCCAACAGCGTGCTTTCGCAAGACAGCATTTGGCATTACATCGCCACCTCGCTGCCGGCCGCCAACGAGGTGACGACCCCCACGACACACTCGCTTCTCTCCGACAGCAAGGGCTCCGGCAAGTGCATCTGCTCCAGGGAGCTGGGGGTCGAAAGAGCGTGCTCTTGAAGGCGATGCACGCCGTCTTACGACGCCTGCACTTGGGACACATGGCCATCACAGCCTGGACGGGAGTCGCATCTGCGCCTTTTGGGGCGCCGACGCTGTGTTCTTTACTGAAAATTGACTTCACTTGCCTGGCTGAAGACCGCCCCGTGGACGCTGACACGTTGCAGCTCCTCCGCAAGGACTTCGCCGACGCCATGTGCGACCCGGCCGACCTGCTCGTCTTCGTCGTCGACGAGGCCAGTTTTCTCGTCCCGGCAGCCTTACACCACATCGACCTTCAACTACAACGATTACGCGGTGTCCACGGCGTCCCTTTTGGAGGCGTCGCCCTCATCCTGGCAGGGGACTTTTGGCAGAAACCGCCTCCGAGCTCCACGACGCTCGCAGAACTCCTCGCCAGCGCTGACGTGCCTGGCCTATCGAGGCCAGTCCGGCACTCCCCCATGAGCACATCAGATAAGGGCCTCGAGATATTCCGACGGGCTCGCCGCACTGTTCTGACGCAGCAGATGCGAGCTGCCGACGACCCTGGTTTCCAGACGGATCTGCTGCAGCTCCGGGACACGACCCCTGGCGCCCCGGTTCCAGCGAGGTTGACAGACTCGCTCCGCGAGGTTTCCACCCACGACATCCAGACACATCCTGCGTGGTCTTTCGCTCCCATCTGCGCCCTGTCCAACTTCGAGCGGTACCTTCTCAACAGGATCCAGGCCGAGCGCTTTGCCAGGACGCACTCTCTACCCTTAATCCGATGGCGATACCCCTTACACGGACGCCACTGCTCTATGCTACCAGCTGATGTCCAAGACGGCCTTTACGAGAACGAGCCAGGCATGTGGGGATGCTTCGTGCGCGGGGCCCCGGCCATGCTGCTCGCCAACATCCAGCCCACCAAGTTCTGCGTCAACGGGGCCATGGGTTTCCTGCACTCCCTCAGCTTCGACGGCGATGCACCGGGAGTGTTCTTGGACGCTGTTGCACCTGGCGGCTTCCGGGAGATTATCCTCGAGGAGCCCCCTGCCTCTATCAACGTCCAGATTTCCTTGCCCGCTGGCGAAGACGGCGCTGGGATCGAGACCCTCGTTCCTGGGTCCGTGGTCGTTCCCATCGCATACACCTCCCACGTCGAGGACTACGACGCCACCTCGTTGTTCAGCATCCTCAAGCGCGCGCCCAAGCGCACCCGCATACGGTGTCACGCGGTTACGCTGGCGTTCGCTTGCGCGGATTATAAGCTACAGGGCAAGACGTGCGACGAGTTGGTGCTCAGCGTGGCCAGGCGACCTTGGCCGCCCCATTTGGACAGAAAAGGCTTCTACGTCGCTGTCAGCAGGGTACGCGCCAAGGCTCGCCTGCGGGTGCTTCACCGACCGTCTTCGGAAGCCGGGGGACTGCACCATTTGCGCAACTTGCCGCCTGCCCGAGAACTTCACGCTTGGAACGCCGGGTACGATGCAGATGGAGATTGGCAACCCTCCCTCGCCCATGCGGCGGCGTCTGGCGCACCATCTACCCGACAGCGTCCACCGCGCGCCCCTGCGCGGGCACCGCGTCCACGACCAATGGCGGGAGGGGCATAATTGGTACGAGTACCCGCACGCCGGTGAAGAGCCCTCCACGCGAGGGCCGCCACCTTGACGCACGCCAGCAGTGTCGCCGCATTGTCCTTGCATTACTTGCGAGCGACAACTGTGCTGCCAATTCGACGCCTTCTACCTTAGCAGATCAGAGTCAGCGCGCTTCCCCAGCATTGCGCGAAAAACAGTGCCCAACATTTCGTCCATCGCCATCTTGATCATAAGGAATGCATTGCTCACCCATGCCAAATATTGCCCCCGATTTTTGTTCGATCTCTTAGCGTGGCAGCATCCCCGCAAGCTCCCTGGCCCCAAGGATACCCGGGCGCACCAGACGCCATAGTGATTCAGAGGCCGCCGCCTGCCTACCAGACTTTCGCTTAGAAATTTGATTTTTCGGACCCGAAGTCAGCTTCTGTGCTCGCCCCGCCCCATCGCTGTCCCACCACATTCCAATCTTGCTGCCCTTTCTTTGAGGGCCTCGCGCGCATTGCACCAGCCCAACAGGTGCTTCGCGGCCCCCCTTGCCTCAGCATCAGACTTCTAACGAGAGCTTTGATTGCCCCTCAACCGTCGATCTCGCCCAGCACTCGCTCTCAGATTGAGCCTGCCATGGCGGACAAGCTCGAGACTGTGAACGAGCGCAACTGCGGTGCCAAGACCATGCACGTGCGAGTGCTGGACCCGATGGTGCGCAAAACCAAGAAGGACTGCGAGGTCTTCACCTGCAAGCTGATCAGCGAGAGTGGCCTCTATTGCACAGCCGAACATATGATCTTCGGGGGCTCGCCGGCGGCGCGCACGAGAGTCAGCAAAGCATTGACGACCAAGTGGACCGCGAAATCCGCGTGGTCTCTCTCCAAGCTGAAGCTTGTGCGCAAGAAAGAGGCCTTCGACGGGAGCCCGCACTCATGCGTACTTCAGCTGAACAACACACGAAAGCATTGGACGCGCCGGAGGCCAACAAGCTGCCGGACGAGCTGGAGCCCCCCGTGGGAGTCCAGGATGTCCTCGACCTCTCGCAGGACCGGGCGATCGACCTCCACGGGTTCGTCTCGGATGTTTCTCCCGAAGCCCAATTCAAAGGCAAGAACTTGGTGGAGGCCACGGTCTGCAACGAGGCCGGAAGCAGCATCACCTTAAAATTTTGGGAGGAGAACGTCCCCCGCGCAGAGCAGCTGCAGAAGAAAGAGCCCATCTACATCTACGGAGCGTACTTGGTCCACCCCGACAGCGGCGGCGTGTGCCTGTCAGTCCGGGAGTCCACGTCCTTCGCCGCGCCTACAGGCACGCGCCCCAAGATAGCGGCCATGCTCGCCGGCGGCGTTCGCGACCTCGCCAGCGACCAGATCCAAAGCCTGACCGTCTATGAGGCCAAGGACTACAAGGCGCGGCCTGCCGCCCCCCCTTTATCGTCTGCCTGGCCCCTGCACAATGGCTCTGTCCCGCGGCCCCCCCGCGCAGCACCCGGCCAACCCCCATCCCGCAACTCGAAACCCCATTGGTGCCCCCCTTCCAGAGTTTGATCCTGAAACCAACCATTTCTCAACGAAAATCTGGCCCCAGCCGGCCGCCCGTCCGGAGCCGTTCTCCGCCCCAAAGTTTCGCTGAGACATGGCGCTCTCGCCGAGCGCACCCCCCCCCCGATGTGCCCCCCAAGGTCGGGCCCGCCACCAGCTCCAACGCGGCCGTCCTGGACGCGCTCCTTCAGAGCAAGACGACGCCCCCGGACACCCTGTTCGAGATCCCGGCAGCGTCATTCCCCCTCAGCGACACGGAGACGCTCTTGACAAAAGATGGGGCCCGCGTCTGGGCATCCGTGCGCATGGTCGACCTCGCTGGGTCCGTGGAGGCCAAGGTGACGGAGAAGGTCGCCCTCGCGCTGACTGGCTGCACGGACAAGGCGGAATTCCAGGCCGACGTTGAACAGGGGTCCGTGACGTGGGCCCGGGCGCGCGTTCGGGCCACGCTGCGCGCCCCGAAGAGCGTTGATGGCGACAAGACGAGCACGGACCCCCACCTGATCATCGCGCGCGCGGACCCCCGGAACTTCGACGCCGTCGTCCCGCTGCCCGCCCCGCACAGCGACAGCCGCGTCGTTCCCACGAACGCCCGCAGCATTTCCTTGAGCACCACCGGGAAGCTGACCATCACCATCGGCTCCGCGCGCTTCCTCGCGAGCGGCGCGCTCCTCCTGGTAGAGGCCACGAAAGACCCCGAGACCGTGCCGCGCGAGGGCGGCTTCGCGATCACCAACTACATCGTGGACGCGGCGGAGAGCGACTCCGACCAGAAAGCCGTCTTCCACGCCGTGACTGCCTGCGCGACGAAACGCTTGGGCCGCTACGCGCTCACGAAGAAAGACCAGGCGCTCATCGTGGTCACCCACTTCGACGCCGCGACGTCCGAGTTTACCGTGAGCGACATGTGGAAGTTGCCGCCCAGCATCACGCCCGACGCGTTCAGGGCCGAAATTGCTGCTGCAGGTGAGACTCTGACCAGTCGCCTCACGCGCGCCAAGCGCAAGGCCGACCCCAAGGCCGAGGACAACTTCGACGAGTTCCTCGGGCCCGCGGTCAAGCGCATCCACGAGGCGTTCGGCGACCCGGCCGCGCCCGCGGAGGCGACCTCCAGCGCAGCTTTCCTGCGCGCGCGCGTGGCGTCGAGGCCCCCGACCCCTCGGATTCGATGCCGAGCTTCCATGCTGCCCCATGAGGCCCCGTCATCTGTCTACCGCCGGACCAGTGGCCCCCGTCCTGCGCCCGCCCCGCGGCGCAATGTTTTGATCCGAAAACTTGAATTTTCCCCCCAAAGTCCGGTCCCAGCTCGCTGGCCGTCTGAGCCCGCCTGCTACCCCCCCACCCCACACCACAGATTTCCATTGGGAGACGGCCATCTCATCAAATACATCTGGCACCCGCAACTGCCCCCCCCCTCGCCACCCAGATCCTGGTCTCCTTCCTCCTTGCCAGGCCGACCCACGCATTGAAACCTCCATGTCGTCCGTGGTCCCCCACATCTCAAAGCATCTCCCAACACCGTTTGCCCCGGCATCGAAGCGCGGCGTCCGCGCCGCATCTTCCCAAGCATGGCCGCGAGGATTGCTTGAGATATAAAACGCATCTTTCAGCGCGTTCCCGCTCGGACGCCGCGGCGTCGAGCTGGTGGGATTCGCAGCGCCTACCCGCCAGGCCGCTGTTCGGACAAAACTCAAGCCCCACTTTCCTTTTCTCCCTGCTCTGCCTCCTCCCTCGTCCTCCTCCCTCCTCCTCCTCCTCCCTCCTGATCCCCGCCCGCCCCCCCTCCCCTTCCCCTCCCCCCCCCCTTTCCCAGCCCCGGACAAAAGGGGAAAGGGGGCAATCCTGGAAGCACGCTGGGCCAACAGAGCCCGGGCAGGGACAGCCCGCGGCGAGACCAAGTGCCAAAAACCACCCCCACTGCACAGTAAATTACTAGCGAGGCCACCGCCTCCTCGCAGCAGCAGCAGGAGAAGGAAGGAGAGGCCATCTTGGAGGCTTCGTGGGAGCCGTTTGGGCCCACCTAAGGCCGTCTTGGGTGCATCTTGGGCCGTCTTGGAGGCATTTTTGGTACCATGTTGCCCGTCTTGGAGGCCATCTTGGCTGTGCTGGCTGCTCTTATCTGGCTGGTCTGGTTGGTCTGGCTGGCACGTCTGGTCCCAGCTGTTGTGGCTGGACTGGTCAGTCTGGCTGGTGTTGCTGGTCTGGCTGGTCTGGCTGGCACATCTGATTCTGGCTGTTTTGGCTGCGCTGCTCAGTCTGGCTGGTTTTGTTGGTCTGGCTGGTCTGGTTGGTCTGGCTGGTCTGGCTGGTCTGGCTGGTCTGGTTGGTCCGGAATCTGTGACGGCAGCGCCGTTGTCCGCAGGCGTCCAGCCTCGTTTCACTTGGAAAAACATGGGAGGAATCGACAAAGCCCCGCCGGAAAAAAAAAAACAGCTAAACCAGTGTTTTTTTTCAAGCACGGTTTTGCGCGACAGCGCTGCGTTTTACCGCTGTCCGCGCGTTGCCGCGGCCGCGGGCGGGGGCATTGCCGTCGCAGAGTGTTGGCCGCCGTCCAGACGGCCAGCCCGACGTCATGTCTCGCCGTGTCTCCCTGTTTCTTATTTTTCCATTCAAACCCCACTCCCTTTCTCTCCCCTCTCCCCATTCCCTTCTATATGCGTGCATTTTTTCGTTGACGTCTCCCGTTCGGCAGACAAGGTTATCTTCAGCAACGCTCGGCTACAGGATGTCGGAGGCTGTCTAGAGCCATGCTCGGCTATCTTGGGCCGTCTTGAGACTGTCTTGAGACATCTTCGAGGTCCGCCTCTCTCTGCACATAGTTCCCGCATCGTTTTCACTGCTATCCGAAGAGGAATGGGCGCCGGAATCTGTGACGGCAACGCCCTTGTCCGCAGGCGTCCAGCCTCGTTTCACTTGGAAAAACATAGGAGGAATCGACAAAGCCCCGCCGGAAAAAAAAATAGCTAAACCGGTGTTTTTTTTCAAGCACGGTTTTGCGCGACAGCGCTGCGTTTTACCACTGTCCGCGCGTTGCCGCGGCCGCGGGCGGGGGCATTGCCGTCGCAGAGTGTTGGCCGCCGTCCAGACGGCCAGCCCGACGTCATGTCTCGCCGTGTCTCCCTGTTTCTTATTTTTCCATTCAGACCCCACTCCCTTTCTCTCCCCTCTCCCCATTCCCTTCTATATGCGTGCATTTTTTCGTTGACGTCTCCCGTTCGGCAGACAAGGTTATCTTCAACAACGCTCGGCTACAGGATGTCGGAGGCTGTCTAGAGCCATGCTCGGCTATCTTGGGCCGTCTTGAGACTGTCTTGAGACATCTTCGAGGTCCGCCTCTCTCTGCCCGTAGTTCCCGTATCGTTTTCCCTGCTATCCGAAGAGGAATGGGCGCCGGAATCTGTGACGGCAACGCCCTTGTCCGCAGGCGTCCAGCTTCGTTTCACTTGGAAAAACATGGGAGGAATCGACAAAACCCCGCCGGAAAAAAAAAAAAAACAGCTAAACCGGTGTTTTTTTTTCAAGCACGGTTTTGCGCGACAGCGCTGCGTTTTACCACTGTCCGCGCGTTGCCGCAGCCGCGGGCGGGGGCATTGCCGCCACAGAGTGTTGGCCGCCGTCCAGACGGCCAGCCCGACGTCATGTCTCGCCGTGTCTCCCTGTTTCTTATTTTTCCATTCAGACCCCACTCCCTTTCTCTCCCGTCTCCCCATTCCCTTCTATATGCGTGCATTTGTTCGTTGACGTCTCCCGTTCGGCAGACAAGGTTATCTTCAACAACGCTCGGCTACAGGATGTCGGAGGCTGTCTAGAGCCATGCTCGGCTATCTTGGGCCGTCTTGAGACTGTCTTGAGACATCTTCGAGGTCCGCCTCTCTCTGCCCGTAGTTCCCGTATCGTTTTCCCTGCTATCCGAAGAGGAATGGGCGCCGGAATCTGTGACGGCAACGCCCTTGTCCGCAGGCGTCCAGCCTCGTTTCACTTGGAAAAACATGGGAGGAATCGACAAAACCCCGCCGGAAAAAAAAACAGCTAAACCGGTGTTTTTTTTCAAGCACGGTTTTGCGCGACAGCGCTGCGTTTTACCACTGTCCGCGCGTTGCCGCAGCCGCGGGCGGGGGCACTGCCGCCACACAGTGTTGGCCGCCGTCCAGACGGCCAGCCCGACGTCATGTCTCGCCGTGTCTCCGTGTTTCTACGCTTCCCCACTCAGACTCCACTCCCTTCTCCTCTCCCCATTCCCTTCTTCATGCGTGCATTTTTCCCTCGACGTTTCCCATTCGGCAGACAAGCGTGTGAGCGTTATGCCGTATGTCATACTTGGGTCAGGTTTTGTTGGTCGATCAGCTCGCGGGAATCGCGATGCTGGAAGACGCTGAGCGACAATCGATACATCGGGCAAGCACGGAAGGCATTGGCGGCGTGAAATGCGACGCGCGCGTCCTGAAGATGTGGCATTTGCTCGTGGCTTTTCGGAATGTTCTTACTTTCATGCACGTTGCCGGCGTGGCTAAATTTCCCGTGTGCTTCCTGCGCGAGTGTGGATGCCATGCGAAAAAGCACGACAAGGCAATGCTTAACAAAACCGTAGCTTCTTTCAAAAAATCTGGTGAGACACGTAATCATGAATGGGTTGATGTTGAAGGGCTGGCAAAACATTTTCGTTTGGCAGAGCTTGCGGATCAGATCGCTCCAGGAGTCAATCACGACCCACTTGTGCGCAAATTGAACAACTTTAAGTCTTCTTGTGATATCACCTCAGCGACCAAAACGAAGATGTTGCTTGCCCACCCGAGTGTGCCTCTTACCGCGGTTGCCAATTTTTGTATATTTTGTTGTTTGTATTGCAATGAAAGCCACTACGTGATGTCGTTCTACGTCGTTTTAGAGCTGGTGTATCGGAAAGCAGCCATTCTTCGCGATACCGACAAATTACGCAAGCATCTGCTGACGCACCGGGAGCGATTGAAAACCGACGGGTCTTACCCCACACTGCCAGACATCAGCGCATATGACGTTCAGAAATGGCACGAGGCTGCAAACATATGCGTTGATCTATACGGCCGACAGCCGAGGATGGGCTACCACGCCCCGGCGCTGTCGGGCTACGACGACGCAGCCCTCCTGCCAGAGGGCGCGGGCACCCGTCCTCACCGCGTCGCCGTCCGCATGAGGGCGATTGCGGTGAGCCTGCAGGAGCACCGGCACATATTGGACAATTCTGCCCTGCTCACGATTGAGTGTACCAAGTCGTTCTTGCAGACGGATTGCGATTGGGCCCCTTACCAAGGCCAGGTCATGCTCAAGCGGTACCTGCGCGCCCGCCACGGGGACCGGTACGAGGGGCACCACGCTTCGACCGTGCCGTACATGGAGCTGCCGGGGGACGGCACGTCATTGTTTTTCCAGAAGCTAGCGCCGGAAGCCCACGACCTCATCCTATCATACTCTTCGGGCAGCGCCGTGGACGAGTCGGCGGGCAGCACGGTGGTGAAGACGACCAAGCCCATCAATTCCCTGAACCACAAGCTGCTGTGGCTCCTGCAGCGCCGTCAGAGTTCCATGCCGCTCCACTCCCGCGTGCTGTCTCTGACTGGCCTCTCGGAGCTGGAGTTCGACGACACGGAGTACGGCGTCTGCGAGGCCCGGACTTATGTCTGGGGGCACACGTGCCGAAAGCGCTATCCGCCAGGTTTTTCTGCGGACATGGCGGCGGCTCACAAGCAGTGGTACCGCGCCGTGGCGCTGCCCGCGGCGTGGGCTCAGGAACAGGGCCCTGCCGACGACGCTCCTGATCCCAAGAAGCGCAGGTTGAGCTGAGAAAAACGTCGCCGGCTTGTCCGGTTGGCCTGGCTGGTCTTGTCTGGCGGTCTGGTCTGTCTGGTTGGTCTGGCTGATTTGTTTGGTTTGTCTGGTCTGGCTGGTCTGGTTGGTCTGGCTAGTCCGGTTGGTCTGGCTGGTCTGGTCTGACTGGTCTGGTTGGTCTGGCTGGCACGTGTGGTCCCATGAGTTGTGGCTGGACTTGTCAGTCTGGCTGATCTTGTCGGTCTGGCTAGTCTGGTTGGTCTGGCTGGTCTGGCTGGTTTTGTCTAGTTGGTCTGGTCTGCCTGGTCTGGTTGGTCTGGCTAGTCCGGTAGGTCTGGCTGGTCTTCTTGGTCTGGCTGGTCTGGTTGGTCTGCCTGCTCTAGTCTGCTCTGGCTGCTCTGGTTGGTTTGGTTGGTCTGCATGGTCTTGTTGGGCTGGCTGTTCTGATTGGTCCAGCTTATTTTTTGAGCGGAAGTTGAAATCTTAACTCATCTTTATGCTCTGGCCAACGACGATCGCCGACCGGCGCGCGGTGCAGTGCGACCAGGCCACGCGCCCCGTCAGGCCGCGCCGCGTGGCCGCGCCCGACTGGCGTGGCGGCGAGCCGGGGGATTGAGGATCGAGGTTACCGGAAGATTTTCTTGGTTCTTGGCGGTTTTCTCAGCCGGCATGGTTTCCAGCGGCTGAGCCTCGCCAAGGGCGTTCCGAGAGTGCCCGTGTCGTCCCGAACGGCCGCCGGAGGCCGAGGCCAGCTTCTTGGGCCGTTTTGGGCTATCTTGAGAGCTGAAAAGAACAACATGCCCAAGTCCTTGAAGCACAACGGAAAATCATTCATTTTGCCCCTTTCGGGCTTTCCCAGTGGACGTTTTGGAGGGCTCTCGGGCCGTTTTGGAGGAATCCTGCGAGCCTTTTGGACCGTCTTAAGCCATCTTGAGGCCATCTTGGCCCGTCTTGGGGGCATCCTGGGGCTATCTGAGCCGTCTTGAACGCCATCTTAGCCATCGTGGAGGCATCTTGAGGGCCATCTTGGGCCATCTTGGCCGTTTTGGAGGCCTCTTGGGCCGTCTTGGGGCCCTCTTGGGGCCGTCTTGGGGGCTTCTTGGGCCGTCATGGGGCCATCTTAGAGGTCTCTTGACGATCTTGGGGCGACCTTGGGGACCTCTTGGGCCGTCTTGGACCGTCGGAAAGCCGAAAAGGCGCGAATGCACGAATCCTTCAACAACTTAAAGAAAATACATAAATATTGCCCTTTCGGGCCTTCATGGAGAACCTCTTGGAGGCCTGTTGGGCCATCTTGGACGCCTCGTGGGAGCCGCTTGGGCCCATCCAGGGCCGTCTTGGGTGCATTTTGGGCCGTCTTGGAAACATTTTGGTGCCATGTTGGCCGTCTTGGAAGCCATCTTGGAGGTACTTGGAGGCCATCTTGGCCGTTTTGGAGGCAATCTTAGCCATCTTGGAGGCCTCTTGGCCCGTGTTGAGGCCCTCTTGGGACCGTCTTGGGGGCCTCTTGGGCCGTCATGGGGCCATCTTGGGGGCCCCTTGGACAATTTTGGGGCGATCTTGGGGGCCTCTTGGGCCGTCTTGGACCGTCGGAAAGCCGAAAAGGCGCAAATGACCAAATCCTTCCCAAACCCAAAGAAAATCAATGATTTTGGCCTCTTCGGGCCCTTCTAGACGACCTCTTGAACCTCTGGGGCCCTTCCGAGGCGACCCCGGCGGACAGGCCAGGCGGCCGGGAAGCTCGCCGCCGCCCGCCGCTCGGTGAGCGAGCCTCGGGCCCGAGGCGAGGATGAGTGGCCTGGGCCAGCCTCGGGTCGGAGGCGAGGACGGTGAGGCGGAGGAGGAAGCGGAGGGGGAGGGGGAGGAGGCGGAGGTGGAGGGGGAGGGGGAGGACGAGAAGGAGGAGGACGGGGACGCAGCGTGCCCGGCCGCGTGCCGACGGCGAGGGCGACTCCGCCGCCACGCGCCGCACCGCCCCAGAAGGTGGAGAGAAGGGGAGGACAAGGAGGAGGTCGAGAACCAGGAGGAGGAAGAGAGGCGGGACAGGAGAAAGTGGAGGTGAGGAGGGGGAGAAGGAGGACGAGACAGAGGACAAGCGACCTTCCTCCATACCCAAACTGACATGCTTCTAGCCGCCCCTTCCCGTCTTCGAATCTGTCCCTTGCCAACGTGTCGCAGCAATTGCGGCACGCTTCCCGGCGCCTGCCAAGGATTGCCTCCCTCGCGATCCCTGGTTTTCTCCATCTCCCATGGACCCACATCGTCATTGTATGATCCTTGGCACGCGTGCCCCTTGTTAGTCGGCGATTCCCAGGAAAATCTGGGAAAATATGGGACGCGTGTGGGGGGGGGGGGGGAAGACGAAGACACAGAAAATATTGGAAAATAGGGGGAGTCCTGGGTTCTATGTGTATTTCTGTGTGTGTCCCTGGACCCCTTCAGGATGAGAGAGGAGGGAAGAGGAGGAGGAGGAGGAGGAAGAGGAGGGGGAGGAGGAGGAGGCGGAGGCGGAGGAGGCGGAGGAGGCGGCAGAGGAGGAGGAGGAGGGAATGCTGGGATTTGTGTATTTGTTTGTGTGTCCCTGGGTCCCCTCACGACCCTCGCCCTCGCCCTTCCTATCCCGCGCGCATCCCCCCCGGTGAGCCGTCGACGGATGACCTGCCATCACCGCCCTCTGCGCACGGGTGCGAGGGGGGGGCCAACTTGTTCGTGCCCAGGTCGAAAGCCTTTTCCCTGGGAGCAGAAAGCGTGCACCGGAGGTTGATATACCTCCTACCCTGACACGTCGATTAGCGAATTGGCCGTTTCCGGATCGCGAGAGGGCGTCGCGACCGTCATTTTTGCGGGTCCAGGTCCGTCGGTTTCGATCCTAGGCCGTTTTCACTCAAGGGTGGTTTACTAAAGGGAGGTTTGTCCACAGCCGAGTGCAAGCACCCATAGATCCAAGCGGATCCTTTTTTTCGGGTGTGCGACAGTCTCGCGGATCCTGTTTCTGCGCTCGGCGGATCCGACTCCCAATGTGTGAACAAGAAGTGGACCAAGGGAATTTCCTGGAGTGCATATTTGATGATAACTCATACTCCGGACCCTGGGGAAGTGTGATCTACGTTGCATTGCACGTGACACATAACGCTATGATTACACGGGGATCATCATCATCAGCATCATCATCATCAACATCATCATCATCATCAGCATCAGCATCAGCATCAGCATCAGCATCATCATCATCATCATCATCATCATCATATTCATAATCATATCCAAAAGCATACGTCCGCCCAATGAGAGTTCCTTGAATGTTCATAACGGCGCCCGCTAGCGGAAGCCGACGGAAGTAAAACGCGCATATATTGGTCATGTTTGGATCGCGCAGCCGTCGCGCGTTCATGATGTGGCCGCCCTGGGCGCGCGTGGATCTATCTTGTTGCCATCGGGCCATCTCGCCGTCATTCGTGGCTCATGTGTTTGGTCATCATCGAGTCGGCCTGAGACGGTCAAGAATCCATGGCGGTATGGTGTTGGGGTGGCGTGTGCCACGGTCGCCTTGGCGTTCTCGTCTGCGGCCCCAGGTCCACTTGGAACAATTCTGTGGCCATGGCGCTTTGGCATCGCGCGCTCGCGAGCGCGAAGCACGTGCGCGCGACAGCTCATCTCGCCGATGGGCGTACATCTATGTATGCCTTGTTTCGCGTTTCCAAGGAATTTTCTCTTGGGGCCGAGTAATCATAGTTATATTCATAACCATAATCGTAGTCGTCATCACCATACCATCATCATCACCATGTTCATAGTATTCCTGTTATTCGTCATCACCCGCATCATCATCATCATCATCATCATCATCATCACCATCATCATCATCATCAGCAGCAGCAGCAGCAGCAGCAGAAGTATCATCATCACTATCATCGCCACCATCAGCACCACCAGCTCGAGCGTCACTGCGCGCTCTCGCCCACTCCCACAACACGCTCACGGAGGCCTTCGGAGGGCTGGTAAAAAAGATCCTTGGTGCAGACGCGCTCCTCTGCTGCGCACCGCCCGTTGCAAGACAAGGCCCCTCCCCAGGAGGCTTCCGGAGGCCCTGGAGGCCCTCGGAGGCTTTCGGAGCCCCCCAGGAGCTCTCGGATGCTTTCGAAGCCCCCAGGGGCTTCCTGGAGGCTTCGGGAAGGCCCCGGACCTTTGCGTGGCTGCGACCTGCGCAACTGCTGCTATTCACGTGGGCTCCCGGGAGGTCCGGCGGAGTCGGGGGCCACGCGCATCCCTTTGAGTCTTCGCTGCTCCCTGGGTGGCTGCGAACTGTGCAACTGCCGCCACTTTCGTGGGCTCCCGGGAGGTCCGGCGGAGTCGGGGGCCACGCGCATCCATTTGAGATCTCGCTGCTCCCTGGGTGGCTGCGAGCTGTGCAACTGCCGCCACTTTCGTGGGCTCCCGGGAGGTCCGGCGGAGTCGGGGGCCACGCGCATCCATTTGAGATCTCGCTGCTCCCTGGGTGGCTGCGAACTGCGCAACCGTCGCCACTTCCGTGGGCGGAGGTGAGGGCAGCGCAGATCACTTCGAGATCTCGCGGCTCATTCGGGGCTTGCGAACTGCGCAATTGTCTCCATTTCTGTGGGCTCCTTGGAGGCGCGGTGGAAGTGAGGGCAGTGCAGATCACTTTTAGACCTCGCGGCTCCATCGGGGCCGGCGAACTGCGCAACTGTCGCAACTTCCACGGGCTCCTGGGAGACGGCGAAGGTGAGGGCAGCAGGGGGGGCTCCTGGGAGGCACGGCGCAGGTGAGAGCAGCGCAGATCCATTTGAGACCTCACTGCTCCATGGGTGGCTGCCAAGTGCGCAACCGTCGCCACTTCCGTGGGCTCCTGGGAGGCACGGCGGAGGCGAGGGCATCGCATATGGATTTGGTCGACATTTGGACGAAGTCCGGGAGAAATCTGAACGAAGTCTGCACGAAAGGGTGAAGATGGTCGGTGGAGATCTAGACGAAATCCGGTCGAAATCACGTTTGTGATAGG